TTGCTTTCCATATTTAAAAGAAAAAATCCGTATACGAAATGCAATAAAACAGAAAATTGTGTAAAATAATGTGGCGAAGAAAAATACAAAATTAAATATGCGAGCTTGGAATATCTGATTGAAATCAAATTTTTTCATTGCTATTATCACACATCACAGCATTACTGCCATAAGTATTTAGGTTACCTCATTTCTCATTTATATTTTGCAGTACTCTTAACGGGTTGACCTCTTAGGTAGAGCGGAGCATACATCCTTTGTTATCAATTTTAAACTGATTATGTTATTGGAGTAGATAATGATATCATTCCATAAATATTTTGCATATTTTTAATTCGTAAAGCAGTAATGCATTTATTGCTTCAAAGTCATCGTCTGATTTTATTAATTATTTTTTTTTTGTAAAGATGTTTTTTTCGAACAGTAGTGAACTACAACAACAAAAAATTATTTTATATTATTTTAAGTAATTTAATTTTTGGCTGACCATACAGCTGTTTCGAGTATTGCCAAATACCCATCATCAGTGGTCTTGGAATTAACATATTTCTTTCATTTAATTATTTGTAAATAATTTTTTGAGACTACAAGTACCAAGAATCGAACTCGTGTTCTGCCAAATTTGAAGCTCAGAGTCAGCGCACCTTAAACAACTGACCCAAAGTCGTACTTGACTTTTTATGTTCACTCATTTTTGTGGACTTTTGTTATTTTGCTATAAAAGTTTTATTAACAAATCTACTTGCTGTGTTTATATTAGAACGAAATCATAAACCAGCTGTATATTTGTCATAATTTAAAAGGAAGTTCTTTCATATTAAAGCACAATATAAAAAAATGATATATTTTAAACTCAATACCTCTGTTTATTAATTATCTAAAAAATTCAATTTTTATTACTCTTATTACAATTGAAATTCCTTATTCTCGTAATGGAAACTTTTTGCCCACTAAATTTTTACTACTATTTCAAAGCAAATAAAAAAATGATGGATTATGAAATGAAAAACTTTCTTTTCACTTAAGTTTTTTGTTGAATTGAACATTTTTTTTTATATTTAATAATTTTTAGAAATCAGTTTTAGTGATTCTTCTCAAAATATGTGGGGCGGTATTTTTCTCACTTACGTACTTTTTCGTCGCCGTAACCGATTGGTGCGGTTGAGATACATTTTTGCTTGCGTTTAAATGCAAATTTCAATTTTATGCAGTTTGGCTTCCTTAGAATTCCATTAGAGGAAAGGCGATTTACATTTTGATTTTTCCATGTACAAGAAAAAATGTGTTTAAATTGTGTGAAATGAAAGGAAAATGTGTGAAGCTATAAATTTGTTCCACTAAGTAAAATTGATTTTCAGATATGAGCTGGCGGAGGAACACAAACTGAAACGCTATAAAAACACTTTAAATTATTCATGGCTTAAGTTTATTTTGTTATTTATTGATTTGAATTGAATTAAATTTTTTATTAAAAAGGCAAGGACAGTTAAGTTACCGCAGATATGTAGTAGGGTTTTCTATGTATAAAATTAAAATGATTTATATTTTCATAGACTTTAAAAAAAAAATAATATAAATTTAAATAGGTGTCATTGTTGTATTTAAATAAATACATATTTTATATTCTGAAAAGAAAAATTGTATGGAAATATGCAAGTTAATATATATTAACTAACGATAAAAAAAAATGAAAGTCATAATTACAATCCAAGATGTTGTACATATCGCACGCTGCAGAGGAGCCTAAAAAGATTCGTCAAGGTGAAACCCAATAACGGATTGTTATGGCTAATTAAAAGAGAAAAATGTTAATGTTAAAAGAGAAAATGCAGTTCTATGTCAAAATAAGTGATGGGACGGTAAACAGCCTTAAAGGATGTCCACTAGAAAGGCAGAAGAGTTAATGTGAAACGACTTTAAAATTAAATGTTTCAAAGATATTGATGAAATTATTTTAAAAATCTAATTTAATACTCAAAATCAAAGAGTCTGAACATATAAAACTGTATTCATAGGGTAAAATTAATATTCTTTCTAGCGTATATTAGAGTATGAGCAAGAATAAAGATACGACATATTCCAGCTTTGCACTAGAACTGATTATACCATTTACTATGTGATAATACGCCTATAGTATATAATAATGTAAATAGAAGAGCTTCCACTTTTAGCAAAAACTGGTTTATAGTTAGATACTTTTATCAATATGAATGTTGTGTATATAAATAAATCTTTTTCGTGTAAATATCTTATAAATTATTTTCAGGTAAAGTCACAACTGTTTTATAGCTCAAGTAATAGTGCTGAAGATTATTCTAATTATTTTAACAAATTGTATGTTACTGATTATGTATTTCTATATTTTCTATATTTGAGTCAAATTTTCCCGAAGCATCTTTTTGATGTCTAAAAAAGTAAGTATTCACTGTAGGCCAGATCTGAAGTCGAAAGCATTGCGTGCACTCTCCAATTATTGTATTACCTTCTAATATCTTTAAGATGTCAGCAATATCACATAACTTTATAAATAAATATAATTCAATTCTATAAAAGAACTTAAGGAGCGCACAAATTTAGCTAATTTACCAGAGCTCTGTGACATGTATGTAAAAGACTGGTATGTGAATACCATTTCTTTTTAAATATATAATATATTATATATATTTTTTACTCATGATTTTGATATTCTTTTTATCTGTAATATTTCACAAGCTTGTTTAAAAGTCCATGAATATCCAAAACATTGTGATACACAGTTGCTTACTGTTTCTTATGTTAAATCTTAATAATTAAGTATTTAATAATAATAATGACTTACTCAGCATGACCGCATTAAGTTCTTAGATTAGGTTCTATACATTAGAAAGAATAATATAAAACATGCAACAAATAATACCTTTACAAACAGAATAATATTAAAATTTAACAATTAAAAATAAAAAATATAATTAATTAGTTTAACTATTCTATAGCTGGTTTATGAATTTATTCTAATACAAACAGAGCAAGTAATTTTGTTAATAAAAAAGCTTTCATAGCAAATTAACAAAATTCCAGAAAAATGTGCGAACATACAAGTCAAATACGGCTTTGGGTCAGTTGGTAAAGGAGCGCTGACTCTGAGCTTCATATTAATGCAGGGCAGGAGTTCAATCCCTGGTACTTGCAGTCTCAAAAAAATTGTTTATGAATAATTAAATGAAAGAAATATTTTAATTCCAAGACCACTGATGATGGGTAATTGACAATACTGGAAAGAGATATATTTTTAGCCACAAAATTCAATAAATTAAAATACTATAAATAAATTTTTGTTGTTGTAGTTCACTGCTGTTTGAAAAAACTCTTAATAATAATAACAGAATAATTTCAGTAAAACATATTAAAAATATGAAAAGTATATGATTTAATTGTTGTTGGTTTTACATTAATTAGTAAACTTTATGGAGCTAATAATTTATTTGTCTTTATATCTTAAAATAAAAACACAATCTCGATTTAATTTAAATCTTTGTTTAATTTCAATAGTACATGCATTAAATAAATAAATTATTTTCTTAAATTTATTCTTTTTTATAGAAATATTCTTAAATCAATTGTGTTCGAAAATCTTATTAAAGCATTTAAAATAACCCATCAAGAGAATTGAGTTTGCATTCTTAATTCGCATTGTGAACGAACCTTCTCCAGTTAAGTTCATAAATCAATTGTGTTCTGGTTTCTTACGTTTGAGCACATCAATCATTTGCTCTGCAACAGATACATGACGTTTCTCCATGTACTCCAACCGTTATTACAGCTTTTATTTACCTTCATTGAAGATTGAAGATACAAACGCATAAATGTAGATTCACATGAAATTCAGTCCCACGATTTGCATGCGTTTTTTATGCAGTCTTAAGATTGATTACCTGCAATAAGAAGAGATAAAGAAAACCGGCAGCAGACAAACTAACGCGATATTTCTTTCAGGAGTTTTGCTTTATAGTATTTGTGAGGAATTTTGTTGAAAGAAATTTAAGCTAATCGCTTTAGTAAAGATAGTTGAGAATAAAATGAAAATGATGTATTAGCAGCTAATAGCATTGCAATTAAGCTATTCTGATATCCTTAAATAGCCAAAAAATTAAGGATAACATTAACAAATGAGTTTTGCGATAATACTGGAAAACACAATTCATTTATAACGATTAAGGAAAGTAAAGTTTTTAGAGTAAATTGCTTAAAATATTTTACAAGAGAGATTTTATTTTTAAATGCGACAACTTTTTATCTAAATCAGGGGTGTCCAAAGAACGCGGCCCAAACATGCGGCTCGCGACATATTTCTAATCCACTACAATTAGGCAAATTTATCTTTGAAATATTTTAGTAATGTCAGACTATTTCATTTTTATGGTATCCCAAATAAATGAATTGGAATGTTTTTATTAATTTATTAAATTTCACATTAATTTACTTAATTGACAAAGACTTCTTTGTACAACTGGTTCGAAGAACTTGTATCCAGTGCCGCGAGTCATTATATTAAAAATGAAATATTTTTCATTATCATGATCGTTTGATATAATAAGGAAATGTCGATTAATTATCGTATATAGAATCGTATATAACCTTTAAGAATTTCGATTTGTATGTCGTAATATCACAGATATAGAGTCACTATTACACTGGAAAAAGGGTATCAAAACAGTTTCTATAAAATCTTGTATATGTAACCCTAATCATTTGAGAACAATTTTATCTTAGTTTGAACCCCTTAGCTCTGTTCAAATATTAACTGTCACTCATATGTCACCTGGCATTTTTATTCACAACTGGAAAAATCTTGTCCGATCATTAAATTTATTGATATATAGTTAAGTGAGTACATAGTGAATCTATTTTGGTATTAACATAGAATAAAATATTTTGTTTTATATTTTGCTAAGTTTAAAACTTCAAATAAAATTAAATAAAAAAAAATAAAATATTAAAATAAATTTATTTTATGTTTATAATTCATGTTTTCATTAAAAATAAATAAAAAAATAATAAGTAAACTTTCGTAAATCATCATGGCCTTAAATTTTATATTTAATCTCATTAAGACATATGGAGTCAGTAAAGTTCAAAGTGCGATCAAGGAAACAGATAAAGATGTTGGTGAATACCATGCCGAAACTGAAAAATACGAGCCCCCTATAGCAGGTAAATCTAAAACAAAAATAGGTTCTAAAAAACAAACTGAATGTAAGAAAAAGCACTCGGATCAGGACCGAAAAAAAGAAAATGAGATAACAATAAATCGAAATAGGTATTCCGATGCTTCAGTCCATATAGCATGTAAAAATTTATCTAAAAATGAAATTTGTTTTTGTAGCTGTGACGATTTCAAAACGGAAAGAAGAAAGCCTAAAAAAACTAGTGATCTAAAGCAGAATAAAAAATCTGGGAAAAAACGACGAAAGATGAAGAAAATTTCCAATCATCACAGTGGGTGTTCCGATACTTCAGTCCATACGATTTGTACAAAGTCGTCTAGCACTGGAATTCGTTTTTGTACATGTGACGAGTACAAAACAACAAAAAATCGGCCTAAAAAACAAACTCCTTTAAAACAGAAAAAAAAATCGGCTAAAGAACGACGGAAGATAAAGAAAATTTCCAATCTTCAAAGTTACGATACATCGGTCCATACGGCTTGTACAAGCTCGTCTGAAACTGAAACTAGTTTTTGTACATGTGACGAGTTTATAACGAAAAAAACTCGGTCTAACAAACGAACTCCTCTAAAACAGAAAAAAAAACCGGCTAAAGAACGACGGAAGATGAAGAAAATTTCCACAATTCTTAGTGAAAATTCTGATACCTCATTAAATGTGACATGTGGAAATTCGCCGGAAACTGATATCTGTACATGTGGCAAAGAGCAACGAGGTCCACCAACAACTACAAAAAGGAAACAAAAAAATTTGAACAAATATAGTAAACGCACCCCCATGCTTGCAACGTGGGATGGGTGTAAGCGATCGCGTAAGAAGAAGCGGGCAAGAAAGTGCCCCATGTGCCGCTTATCACATTAGAATAAATAGTAGTTTAAAGGTGCAGGAAAGAATTAAATAAAAGTAAGTCTGAATAAAGATTTGAAAATATTTCTTCTATATTACATTAATATACTTTCCGAAGATAGGTATGGTCTATTCCTGCTCCTGTTACCGCAACAACGTAACTACATACCAAGCCACCAACCAAGTATATGTGTCACTTTTTTTTATTAAAAATCATTTTTAAAATAGATTTGTATGGATATTACCAAGCAGTAGCATTCCATTGAAGATTTCAGAAAACTTTGTGGCATGTTCAAATACAATTTTTAAGATTAAACAATTAAAAATGGTAATAATAATATTTCTATATGTATTGGGAAACTGTTCAAAAAGTATGGTAATACAATAGATGTGCATTTGGAACACTTAAAAAAAAAATTTATATGTCGCAGTTTTTTATTATTGCACTTCTATTGTCTCTTCTATGCCTTGCTAACTTGTTTCTGGATCGTATTTAAAAAGACATGTCTTCAAGATTTATAATAATCCTTGAATGTTTTATCGACAGAGTTTATAAAAAATCTGTATATCTGTAATCAACATTAATTTACAAGTCAATCAAATAATATGCATATAATATTTATTAGGCAGTGGAAAAATTGTCGTGGCCTCCATAAATCATGCTACTATGAAAGTTCAATTGTTATTTTTAGATATTTTAAGAACATGTCCTCTAAAATATAAATTTCTAATAGTCGTACTTTTTGAACAGAACGTATGATAATAACAAATAATTGCAAGGTTTAATTATATCTAATTACTTGTGTTGTTTTATTTATTATGGTATTGTGTTCTCTTCTTCGTATAATTTCATTAGGTTTTATCTAATTACTTTTGGTAACGAAAATGATATGTGGATTACTCGAATCGGAAATAAGCTGTTGGTAGATAGCCAATGCCTTTGAGACTGCTTTAAAAATTCATTATCTTCTGTTTCCAACAAATATACTCTGAGTTACAGATGGTTACCCACAACTGTTTGCTACTCAGTTCAAAGACGTTTAAAAACTCAATAATACCGAGGTCTCTCTCAATTCCTTATGCATTTCTCAATTGTAAAAGAATCTGCAGGTCCATTGGAGCCTAGAATTTGACAAGTAAAGTATGAAAAATTACCAAATCGGCGTTGTACGGTGGTCACTCAATGAATCAAGATAAATATGACCGATTCCAACAACTTTTCTGTGATGACTTTGGAACTGAACTCTTTATTCGGTAGATGCTCCTAACTAAATTACCGTAAAATTTAAATTAAATTTAAAATAAAAACTCGCTGTGTCAGATCATGAACAAAATTAAATTAAAAATAAGTTTAAATCAAACATTAAAGAGGTAACATATAATCGCGATATCGCCTAACGAGCTCGCCAATAGTAATAGTACAAAGCGGTGTCACCATAATATTTGATAACCGAGCTTGTTACGCCAGATGCTGGATACCTCTACCATATATTTATATTCAACAAGTTTTAGGAATAAAATACAAGTTCACATTTTTTTAATTTTTTTCTTTAATATTAAATTAATATATATAACCACACATAAGATGGAAAAAATGTTCTTGATTGTGGTCTGTAACAAATGTTATTACGAATCTGTTACCACAATTCGAACTGTCGATGTTTTGCTTAAATGGATCTCAACCATATAGTGTGAGGTTAGATTCATTCAATGGATATTTGCGTAGTGTTTAAAACACTGATTTTGACTCAAATTTTGTTTTCAACTGAGTCACTTACAATCATAATAAGTAGTTATATGCTAGAGACGGATCTTCGACCAAGACTTGGCTGCATTGTCTTTTTAGGTTTCAGAACCGAAAAGTAGAATTGCTTTCATACTCGTGTTGACAATTTTGAATTTAATATTGTAATACATATATACTATTTATAAAATATGTCCTTTTGAAGATTTCAGTTTTTATCATACCTTTGTGTAGAAAGTAGTATTTCTAGTTGTAGCTAACGTTGTATCTTGGTAAGTACTATATTCAACCCTAAATGATTAAATAAACTATAAGCAATAAATCGACAGCATTAAATCATAATTGGTATAGAAATGGTTTCAAACATATTACCGGAGACCTCTAATTACAATTTCAAAATAACTACAACTATTCAGTCATATTGAAAAGGAAAATTACAACAACTAGTAAATCGAACTCTAATACTATACAGAAAACAAATCATTTTTAAACATTTAAATCTAACTATCTATGATATATTTAAAAAATTGTTTACAACAAAAAAAAAAAAAATTAACTGATTTTATTAATTTATTTAGTATATCTGTTTTGGAAAAAAGTGTAATGAGTTCCAGCCCATTTATAAATTTTTTTGCAATATTCAGATCTGAACATTTAGAATTAACAACAGCCGATGCAGTAAAAGCAGTAGCAGATGTGTGGTATGCTATGAGCCCCGAAGAAAAGGAACAATATCGTCTTCCTTCAAAAGTTGAGAAACCTGAGAAAAAATTCAAAGCTTTGAAGACAATACCTGATAATACCTTTAAGAATATCTTTAATCATATTTTAACTACGGAAACAGAACAAGAGAGCAAGAGTGCGGATAGTAGTGTATCTAGTATATCTTTCGATTCTTTTTAAAGGAAACAAGAAAGTCAACACTTTTCTTGCTCCAATTTAAAGAAGAGCATCAAAAAGGTATTGGTTTTATGGGCTAATAAGTTCTGTACTATATGTGCCGCAAAAAAATCTGATAAATTGAATCTATATATATTATTTTGGTAAGTAGAAAAAAAAATTTTATAAATATCATGCTATTTTCCATTTTTCTTTACTTATTAGATTTTTCTTATAAGAATAGATATAAATAGTCATGAGTTATTATTACGTTGAAACCGCTTTATGATAAGGCGTGGAATTATCTTTAGTAGTCAAACATGGGTGTAATTAGATCCGATTTACTACATTACCATATACGTTATGATAGCATAAAGTGAAACAAGTATTATTTAAGTCCTGTCCCTACCTGTGTACGCCCATGTAGTCAAATGAAAAAAAAATTGAATTATTTTGAGAGGTTAAAATATTTAGAATAGTGATGAATATTATCATTATTATTATTGAAAATTGGAAACTGTTTTTAATAAAATAAATTTTAACTAAACGCCTTTCAACTTGGTTAATATGATATGAATAATGTAAGAATTTTTTTTAATAATATATATTATTATATCACTGCATTAATATTTATATATTCATATAAATGAACTTTTCTTTTTACGTATAATTTAAAGAATGGCATTAAAAAAGTTATATTGTATTATGTCATTTTACTATAAAAAGTATAAAAAATCAATTTTGCAGAATTTTCCAATACTTTTTAAAGCAGAAATGCTTTCAAAATTTCCTTCGGAGAAATTGAATCTCACCAGCTGTGCTGCTTAAACTTGATTACGGAAAAATGCATGACAAGTTCTTCAGCTCAAAATGATTTCTCCCTTTTCAATGGATTTTTCAACTTAACGAGTTGCATGTTATGCAGATTTACACAATAAGGTCAACTTGGGTTTGCTTCCTTGCTACAGTTTTTCTTCCTTCAAATGACCTTTTGATGCCAACACCGAAGAATTTGATGTAATTTACGTATAACAACAGAAGGAGAACGTAAAAAATTTGATAAAACAAAGAAATGATGTCAAGATGTGTTTAACGATAATTTCTATGCACTCTTAATATGACTGCAAAAATATTAAAACTTTGACATTTCTATATGTTAGGGGCTGTTTACAATCCTTTATACAGTAAACCTTCAAATAATTGATTAAAGTTTCGAAAAATATCTAAAAATAGCTATCATTGAATGCTTAATTTTTTGAATAATTTTTTGTTGTAGCCAAAGTCAAAAACAATTTCGCCCCTATGTACATATCCTGCAATATTGAATTCTATGAGTTAATTCTATATTAGTATTAAATTAATATTAATTAATTTTATTTTAATTTAGTAATTTTCTCACATCTATAAGTTTTGATCGAATTTTTTTTAAGTCTGAAAAAGTTTAAATTATTATAGTTAAACTTCACATCAAACCTAAATGGATTTCCATCGAAGTGGAAATCAAAATATCTAGTTAAGTTTTTGTGGAAATTTTCACAGTCATATTGTGAGGAATATAGAGCACCAGTGATATTTTAAAAGTTGTGCACTCAAGTTATAGAGAAGTGTTTATAAAGATTTTGTTGCTTATTTTCCAACATTTAATCTGAATGTCTTTTTGCTAACGGTACTCTAACTTCTTCATTTTTTGAAAATATGCTTTTGATTAAAAGTTTTCAAAATACTCATATACGGTGAAAAACACCTTTTCATGATATTTTTGCTTTTTAATGCAGGGTCTTTGTAAAGCAAAAAGAACGTTCTAGGTACTTTGAATAGTGTTGTTATGCCACTCTTTTTAAGATTTTTAATAAGAAACATGTCCTAACACCATAATCTTTACCATTTTCTTCTTCGGAAAGCTTGTACCTTATTATTCCCATAATTTTATATATTCTTTGGTCTTCGAAGTGTATGCGGTGAACATATGATTTATCAACAGTCATGAATTTGAAACTTTCCTAATAGAGCCTTATAGCGACGCATTTTTGGTTCATTATCAAGAAAATCGACCCCTGCATGCGAAAAGCTTTCACATGTCAAAACTTCATAAAATATTTTCCAATGCAGTCGAGCGCAATGTTCATAACTCCAGCAAGCTGTCTAGTTTTTTTTGAACCATCATCCAATATGATTTGATAAAATTTTGAGAGATTTTCAACAGTGTGGTCGTTCAAATCTGGTTGAAGTCAGCTACCAACACTTTTATTGTTGCTTGTGATAGCGTTAAAACTCAGCAAAGTTTGTTCAGTTAGAATTAAATTTGCAACGTCTTATTATTAAATTGTAATATAAGAAAAATCATTTACGAGATTCTTGTTTCTGAATAATTCGAATATACTTGAAATCGGCCAATGAAAAAAATCAACAGTAAAATAGGGTAAAGCATTTAACGTTACATATAAGAAAAAGGGAAAAAATGGTATTGCCTTATATGACATCGTTGCCATAATATATAATCTTGGTGCATCGTTGTGAATGCGTTTGAAATGTTGGACTCTCCCTTATAATTCTTTGACAAAATTAAATATTGTGCTAGAAATAAAACAGTTGCTTTTCAACAAGGTATCAAAAAAGTGCTACCCATCATAGCATAGCATAGCCATTCACAATAGAGTCAAGAAAAATGAATGCATTCTCAAACGCAATAGACTGTCGGTATTGCAAGTGTACAGTTGTTTTTAATGCGTTTTCAATACTTTTTGCTTTTCTAACAGACATCAATTTCGCATTCGCAATGATGCACCAAGATACATTTATTTTTATAACTATTTTTCTAAAAATAGCTTCAAAATAATTGAATCACTTGGTTTGTTGAATATTAACCGGATAGTGATGACACTTAACGCCCAGACCGCGCAAATGATAGATTAATATATATATATAGAAATTTTAAAATATTTATTTAAATTAAATATTGTAAATTTAAGAATTTAAGAGCTTACAATATTAAAGAGCAAACATAATTAAATTTTCAACAAATTTTAATATCTCATTAGTAATTCTACACCTTTAGTTTATAATAAGTAGTGAACATATTAAAAGGTTAACAAATTCATATCCCTAAGTACATCATATGAATAATTTTTCAGCCGGTGGCTGAACATAATACCTTTGTGAATTAAATTTATATTTGCATATATATGCGAGTGCGTGTACCATATATGATACAATCTAATAATAATAATTTGCTTACTTATGACATTCACCCCAAGCGTCACTTAAACTTTTCAAATTTCTTTTCATAAAATTGTAATAACCTAAAGTCTCTATTACATTCACAGCATTAAAATAATTCCTTAAGTCCTTTTGAGCTTAGCAATGCTTTTTTTTGACTGTTCTTATTTGAATGCAATTCTATTTCAGTCAATTTAAAGTTATAAAACTTTATTTAAATTTCTTTAATACACACGTTCACATATCCTTCACACAAATATCCTAGCACAGCACACTTAGCAGCACACACTCGAGACTCGAACGTCTACGCAGAGAATCCCTTTAATCTCTGCTGTGAGCTGGCGCATGAAGTTGTGCTGTGCGTGTCCGTGACTTTTAGTCCCTAGATAATGTAATTATAAACTTAGTCGTATATCAATTAGGTTTGTTATCCGGAATTTTAATATTTCTCCATTAATTGCCCGTCGGGAATGTAATGTGAAAACTCATCACGAAAATAAAAATTGTACGAGTAAAAAGCACAAAGAACTTTGATGTGTTTTCATAAAATTAAAATGTGTGAAATTTACACTTTTTTCTATAAACTGAGTGTGAGCATTAAGGGAAAATATCTTTGTAAGTAATAGAAATATATTTAATCGATTTGAGCCACTTTGATCTTTCATGGTTGACAATTCCCTCGGTTGCCTTTAAGTGGCAACGCGAAAAATCTTCTGCAACGCTCCTTACTTCAAGGATACAACACTTCATGCTTCCTTTCTTTGATTCAAATCAATTTGCTGCAATTTGTAAATCACGGAGCAACTGCTATCCTTGCGGATTTATATAAATAAATATATTTTTATTTTAATATTAAGTTTTGAAATCAGAATATTTTAATTAAAAGTAAATAATCATAGCCTTGTGCTATTTTGCTTGCCTGATATTTTTCTGAGAAGTATAAAAAAGTGTCAGCAATTAAATATGTAGTTGTTTTAATACATACTCGTATTTCAATCTTTTTAAAATTATCAGGAATTTTTTAATAAAATAATAACAAAAATAATTTCTTTATAATCTGTGATTGTTCAAATTATTTTTTATGTCGATTCTTATTGAAATGAGTTATTGCAATTAAAATTTGTATATTGGATTTGAGTTCGCTAAAGCATATATTGGATTAAAATATTTCTTGAGATAAAATGGACGAATCTTGTTTATTTCTATTAAATATTATTGAGAAAGAAAGATAAAACTAGACACTTCTTAGTCTACTTATAAAAAGGAAACCTCTCATCTTTATGATTAGTTTATTTCTGTCACATATTTATAAACTACTTAAATGATTGAAATTTTTAGTCTGAATGGAAAAATTAATTTAAATTTGTAAATAACTTTTCAATCCTGTTTTGTTATTTCAAATTTATTTCATTGCATTCGAAATACTCCCTTTTCAAGACAACATCAACATTTTTTTAATTCTGAAATCAATTGTTAAAGTCGATTTCAAAAATAACCTCTAAAATGCACATCAATTCGATTTTTATTCCTTCAGTATCGAAACAGTGCCCGTGAAGCGATATCATGAGCTTAGTGAATAGCCAGACGTCGCACGGTGCTTAACCAGGCAAATACGTTGGATCTGATATGATATGAGTTAAAGTTTTGACGAAATGATATCAAAAAAATCAATGCAATGTGGGAGAGTTTATTTATCGTTTTGCAAAAATCGAGAATTGTCTGTTTTTATATATTCCTTAATATTATATTGTTAACAAGTTTTCTTGACGGAGGAGTTCGTAACTGGATTATATGTATAGAAGTCTGATTTCTGCTTATCACAACTTTCCTCTTAACCCGATAAATGAATAAAAAACAAGATTCCGCTCTTTTACGATAAAACACAGTATTCATAACGGTTTGTAATGATCCTAAAGACATTGTTGGAGATTGTTGGTCGCACAGCACG